CGCGGTTGACCGACCAAGGCCCGAGGCTGAGGGCGGCCTCAGCGCGGCGGTGAGCTTCCCGAGGCAGCAGGGGGAGCTTGACGCCGAGGGAGGCCGGCCGTTGGGAGAACCCAGAACGGCCTGACCCCAGAGAGAGGGGAGTTCGGGGTGCGCGCACAGCGCCGCGGCTCCGTGGTGCCGGGGTCCCGGGAAAGTGGCGCACTGGGCCCAGAGCTCCCGGGCACCCGGGACGGCGAGCGCCCGAAGAGCCAGAAGACCAGAGCTCGAGCCCAGGGCTGGAGCACGAGTATCTGTGTGTTGGGGGTGGGGGGTGGACGAGTGAGCCTCGGCCCCTACCTCCCCCCAAGAAAGGTTAGGGCTCTTCTCTGCGTGGTTCCATCGGAGCTTCCTGCGGCTCAGTCATTCCCGCCGCTCCAGCTGGGGAGACGGGAGCCGTGCGCACCGCGGGGATGCGCGTCCGGACCGAGGGTCCCGCCGCGCCTTTTCCGATCGGAGCTTGCAGGCCAGCACAAGAGCTCAGCGCCCACCTGGTTGCCCAGGCGAGACCGAGAATGGGCTTCAGGACCCTCTCGGGCCTGAATCTGAAGGGGCTTGCGGGTCTCGTGCCCCGGCGCACGCAGACTGGGGTAGAGCTCCAGCTGCAAAGAAATCTGGACGCGGAAAAGCAGCGGCGGCACGGACCAGCCGCGAGCCGGGACTCCGGAGAGAGGAAGGAGCCCGGGCATGGGGTGGTGAGGGTGGGCCCCGGCAGCCAGAGGGAGAAGAGAGCGAACTTACTTTTTCCTGATGTGCAAGAAGGTTCCGGCGCACTCTGCCCAGGCCCGTAGCGGATTCCCAAGCACTCACCGTCCCTCAAATCTGTCCCAACTGCCCGCCCGGGACAGGGGATGCTTGGAAAGCAAAGACAGGCACAGCGGACAGTGGCACCTCTCCGGGGCTGAAGCCTCGGGAGAGTCTGGGACTTCGCCGCTCTCTGTACAAAACAAAAGCCAGATTCTCAAAAATCTCAAGAGGGAAATAATCATTTTTAAAAATCGTTTTTTTTCCCTTTCACTTTTAACCGTGTGCCGGGAGAAAAATTAAAAACTAAATGAGCGATTGCTCAGGACATTGTCTACAAATTGTGAAATCCCCTGTTTAAAAATATTTTCCCCAAGGCCAACCCCACGACTGGTCAGCCCTTTGCTTCTTCCTGAAAAATCACAACAAAAACAATAGGAAATGCAGTCACGGTCCTGGGAAGTAGGAGTAGCCGTGAGGCCCAGGGAACCCACTGCGGCCGAAACTGCCATGCTCTTCCTTTCTCTTTAACCAAAAAATAAAAAAGATAAGAAGAAGAAGTAAAACCTTTTAATACATCAAATATACGGAATTTTAATCTTTAAAGCGATACATTGTCTATTATTTTAGTACATGACGTAAACCTTACTTGTCCCCTTCTCAGCGGGTGGACTTAAAAATTAAAAATAGTTGTGTTCCTTTTAAAGAACAAAATAAGGCAAATGAGGTTTTGGAATAAAATTGTTTTTCCTTTTTTTTTTTTCTTCCAGAATACATACAAAAAAATACCCATTCTCTTTCGATGGTATACACCTTAAAAATAATTGCAATTTGAAATCAGAGCTGACAAATTGTAACTTGTTTTGTTTTTTTTTTTCATTTTTTGTAACAAACATGCATGTAAATTTGTGTTTCAATCAGACATTAAATAAGAACGTACAATACAATAATAGCAATTTTAAAGTAACATTAAAGAGAAGACCTCTAGTTCTGTGGCGGTTTTGTATTTATTTATAATCTACAAGGGACGGGAGGGTTTGTTTTCCACATTTTTACCCTCAAGATTTAATTTTTTTTTTTTTTTTTTTTTTTTTACCCCTCCTCCTTTTTACCTACGGAGCTCAAACTAAATAATGCACTTTTGAACCACGGGTCCGCTTGGAGCTAACATAAATAAATACCAGTGTCCACCGATGCAGTCCTCAGATGAACACTTTCTCAATTAATTTTTCCTTCTTTTTCTATAAAAAGTCAAATGATATTTTTTCAACTTTTATAAAGTTTGGGTGGGTGGGGAGGTGAGAGGTGGGGGAAAGGGGAGTTTCCCACCGGGTCTCGGTCGCTGTTTTGGGTAGATAGATGCGGTATATATATTTTTTCCTTTCCTGGCCCGGTCATCCCCACGCGCGAGTGACAGTAGACTCAGCCCTGTTTCCACCCCTCCCTCGGCTCCTCCCTCCCCCCTGCTCCTCTCTCTCCCTCGCTAGCCCTCCCCACCGCCCTCACTGATACCCCAGCGCCGAGGCCGTGGTCAGTCTCTGTCCGTAGAGGGCGTAGGGGGAGTAGTAGGGTCCGGTGGCGGCAGGCACAGGCACAGGAGCGCCGGGTGTGGGGAGCGGGCTCTTGGAGTAGGGGTGGTAGCGGCTGCTGAGTCCCAGCGCGTGGTGGGGGCTGCGCAGCGCCAGCGTCCCGGGACTGCCCGGAGCGCCCGACGTGGGGATGTGCATGTGGCAAGCCATGGCGGCCGCTGCGGCGCTGGCCAGGGACGATGAGCTGGGGTAGCCCGACAGCAGTTTGTCTGTCCCGGGGAAGGCCGTATGGGTCCGCAAGTGGCTCAGCAGCTCTTCGGACGTGGCGAAGCGCTTGTCGCAGGGCCCGTTGGCCGACACCCAGTTGCAGATGTGGGGGAGCGGGTCGTTAGGGAGCATGAAGCCGTAGGGGTAGAGGGGGTGGCCGGCCAGGGAGGGGGGTGTGGCGCCGGCAGCGGCGGCAGCTGTTAGCGATGAGTGTACGCCGTGCAGCGGGTGCGTGGGGTACACCAGCGGGTATCCTGACTTGAGCGCCGCGGCCGCCGCGGCCGGATCGTGAGCGCACGAAGCGCTGGCTGCCGCCGCCCCTGCCAGGTGGCTGGCGCAATGGTAGCTGAGGCAGTACGGGTCCCGGCACAAGCTGGCTGTCATCACGGATGGCGGCGACGCCCCGGCCAAGGGGCTGGAGCCGGCCGGCTTACTGCAGCCCAGAGAGCCCGCCGCGGCCGCCGCCAGTTGCGCCCCCACCAGGCTGCCCGGCTTGGTGGGGTCAAGTGCCACGCCGTGCGGCAGGAATTGGGGCGGGTAGCCCGCGTAGGCCCCAGCCAGGCTGCCTGGGTAGGTCATGCCCGCCGGAGGCAGAGGGAACACTGTCTGGCCTGGCTTGTAGGGCGATACCGGGGCCACCAGCCCAGAGCCCAGTACGGAGGAGGAGGTGGGCGCGCTGGGGCCCGAACCGGAGCTGGAGCCGGATGAGCCGCCGCAGTCTGAGCCTAGAGCCTTGCCCCCGGGGCCCCCATCTGGGTGCTGGTTAACGTCCACATTAATCCCTCCGCCGCAGCTAATCCGGCCGTGCGCCAACCCCGTGGGTCCCCCTTCGGCCGAGGTGCCCCCGGAACCCTTGCTGCTGCCACCGCCGCCGCCCACGTCGGGATCCTTCTTGTCGTCCTTGCCCTCCGGGCCGCCCCCGGCCGAAGGCAGCATGCCTCCTGGCGAGCAGGCCGAGGCGCTGGAACTTGGGCTGCCTGTCCTGGGCGTGAATGGCTGGCAGGTGGCGCTCGGTACCCGGAATCCGGACTTCTCTGCTGAACCCCCCCCGCCGCCGCCCCCGCCACCACCGCCTCCGCCGCCGCCGCCTCCCGGCTCCTTCTTATCCGAGCCGGGTTTGGAGTATGGCTTGAAACTCGACTTGTCCTCCACGCCGATGTCGCTCAGCTTGAGGGGGCCAGACTTTGCGTCCTTGTCGCCCCCCGTGCCGCTGCCGGCACCGCCCGCACCGCCCCCATTGGAGGCGACAGAGGAGAGTTTGGAAGAGGGCGAAGGGTCGGGCTTCCCGATCTGTGAGCATGTTTGCGCCAACAGCGCCAGCGGGCTCTTCTTGGCATCAAGCTGCGGGGTCAGACGTGGGGTTGGGGGTGGCACAAAGAGAAAGAAGGGGAAACCCTTTAGAATCCCGGCTTCTAGGGATCAAACGCCCTTCCGCAACCGCCAGTGAAGACCCTCCCAGCTCTAGGGGCAATTCTAGACGGCACCACTTCACCTCCCCCCAGACGGACGAACAGACAGACAGACAGACACACAGACTCGCCCTTGAGAAAGGCGGCAGACTCCCTCTTACCCCACCAAATCAACGTATTTCCTGACCTCTCTAAACGCTGTGTATTTAAAAATACTCACTAAATGTTTTTGTTTCTGACTCCTAGACCCAGAACCACACACACACACACACACACACACACACACATCCCCAATTCTTCAGAGTAAGGGCTTGGGCAGTTGGCGCCTTAGAGGCTGTGTACAAATACCAGCTTCTGGGGAACCTTAAGACTGCGACTTTGGAACCGCATTTCGGACTTCCGCCCATCTTCCGGGCCGAAAGTGAGGGGGCCTGGGTCGGGGTTGGGGCTTTAATACCAAAGAGAGAAATAAGTTTTGGTTGCTTTGTCCCTTAGCATTCACACCCCATTCTACCTCCTACCCCCTTTCCGCCCTAGTTTTTACGATTCGGGAGCACTATTCTCTCCCCCATCCCGGAGCTGAATCACTCTGACCAGCCCCCCCCCCCCCCCCCCCACACCCCTAGAGAAAGAAATCCCGTGGAGCGGCAGCCAGGGTGGTGGTCCCAGCGCGATCCCGGGAGAGGGTCCTTACCTCGATGGGGCTAACGGGAGTAGAAGGCAGGGGCTGCAGGTACTCGGGGTGCAAAATGTGGCCAGTCCGTGCCGTCAGCATCTTCAGCACCTTGATGGGCAGGCGATTAGCCTGGCGGAGAGGGTCAGAGGGGGGCACAGCGTGCACAAAAGGCTTGGTGCTGCCGGCCGGGGACGAGCCTTGGCCGGGGCTGGAGCTATTTCCAGAGAGCGCGCTGGTCCAGGCAGGGTCCGCACTGCTGCCGCCGCCGCCGCCGCCGCTGTGCTTACTGCTTCTTAGGGCAGAAAGCGAGGGCGCTGTGCTCATGACCCACCCGCACGCATGGGAGCAGCGGGGGGAGGGCTCCGTGAGGCGTGGGGCGGGCTCCGGGCTGCGCGCTCGCCGGGGAAGCAGAAGCAGTAGGAGGAGGAGGAGCTGGCGCGGCGGCCACGGGCACCCAGCGCGCCTTCTCGGCGCCTGAAGCCAGAAGCGAATAATCCTGGGTGGCCAGCAGCGGTGCCGTGGCCGAGCGGGAGGAGCCGGTCGGACTGTGGGAGTGCCGGGTGGCTCGCCGTGTCCGCCTCGGGCTGTGCCCCTGCGCTGCGCACTCGCGACCCGGCGCTGGCGCTGCGCTTGGCGATGTGAGCCGCTGCCTGTCCAGCCAGGGATCTGGCGAGGAAACTCACTTCAAAAGCAGCTGCACCGAGGGGGAGATTAAAGCCTTTGCCGCCTTCCAATCAAATGGGAGCCCGAGGTGATTGGAGGGTCAAGGGGATGTGACGCGTCCCGCGCCGCCACCGCCGCCGCCGCCGCCAGGACTCTCAGCGCTGGTTTTAATGGGCAGCTCCTTCTTCACCGCCCCCCTCCCGCGTGTCCCCTCCCTCGATTTCGCTCCGAGGACGGGCTGGACATTTATTCTGCGTTTGCTATGTGCCGCCTCCCTCTTTTTTCTTCCTCGTCGTCCTTCCTTTCCGTGGCTCGAAAATAAACTGAAACCTTTTTTTTACAAGAGGGTGGATATGAGGAACAGATTGAAGGGATGACCAGAAGGAGCAATGGCGGGAGTCTGGACAACGGCCGGACTTTCACTTCCAGGGGCGCACAGGGGACCCACACACCAAATATTCTGTCTCGCTCAGTAATTGAAATCTCTCTCGGCGCGGCAGCCAGGGTAAGGAAAGGTGCGGAGAGGGTGACGGAGGAAGTGCGCCCGCCCGCTTTGATTCCCCGAGATTCGGCAGCGGAGAAACCAGAAGCTAGGTGGGCAGCGGAGGCGGCGGCGGCGGTTCTCCCGGCTGTGCGCGGGGCTCCCAGCCCTTCCCAGCCACGTGACTCCCGGGGACGCGCAGATTGGGGCTGGAGCGGGGGTCACATGTTTCCTCTGTTTCACACTCAGTCTTCTCCTCCACCCCCCCCCCCTCATTCTTACTCTCCCCTGCTACCCTCTCTCCTCCTCTCCCCCTCTCTTCAGTTCTTTGGGCATCTCCACCCCTCCATCAATTGTCAATGTTCCTCGACCGCAATCAATCAGTTATTTGTCAGCTCTTGTCAATCCGCCCGTGATTTATGTCAGCTTTTGTTGCTGATTACAAGGCGGGTGCAACTCGAAGGAAAAAGAGTGAGGAAGAGAGAGATGGAGAGTAAGGAAGAGACCAAGGGGGAACCAGCGGAGGGGGAAAGAGGAGCAGCCTCCTGGGATGGGGTGGGGGGTGGCTCTAAGAAAAAGAATGAAAGAGGGGAAAAGAGGCTCTCCGTGTCAGGAAAATGAATAGTGAGAGTAAAGCGCGCAGGTGTGCCCAGGGCTCTGAGAGGGCTGCTCAGGCCTTAGGTGTGCGCCTCTCCCCTTACACCTTTCTACCTCTGGGACTTCGGTCCATTGGGGCCCGCGGTGGGAGGAGCTGCCCCAGGTTCCTGAGACGGGCGGTGGCGACGTCTAAGATGGGAAATATTTTTGTCCCCAGGATAGTCCCTCGGGAGCATGAGGATGTCAGGCTGCCAGCCTGCCGCGGACCCCACCCTTCGTAGTGCCCCGACCCCCAACGCAGACTTCATTCTGACAGGCACACCACAACGCAATTTTGAGTCCTGAAGGTCAATGGTGGGGTACCTCCTCCCCGACTTAAGTCTTTGACCTCCCTTCGGATCGCGGCTAGGGCTGAGAGGCTGCGAAGAGGCCTGGCCATGGGTGTACGGTGGAGATATCTCAAGCTGAGTCAGATCCCCTCTCCAAACCTCTCCGACCCTGCTGTATCCCCGCAGGCTGGGTAGCCGGGGTTACTCTGGGCTGCTCACTCGAATTTATGGGAACGCCAAACCGGGACTGACCTGCGTGGAGAAAGCAGAGGGAAGAAGAGAGAGCGGGAGGGGGCGGCTGCCTGTAGGAACTCGGGTCTTCCAGGGAAGCGGAGCGGGACTGCCGCGTTCCCCTCGATTTGCACCGTCACTCCGGCGGGTTGGAAGGAAGAGGGGAGGCGCTGTGCCTGCCTCTGTGTACCTGGAGCTGGGTGCACAAGTGTGTACGGACGTCTGTGCCGCTGTGTGAGTTGTCAGGGCTTTGGCAGCGTCCGGAGCGAGTTCGGAGGTCGCCTCCAGAAACTCGCAGAAACGGGAAGGGGGCAAGAGGAGGACACAACCCCTTCCTCGGAAGGACTTGGACGACTTTGAATCTCCCCTCCTCCACTTTTCCGCCCCAGCTCTTCTTTTGTTGTCAAGTCCTTTGATAAATGGTAGGGCAGGGAGCGCGGGGAGCCAGGAGCCAGTCTGTACCCGCGCGGGGGGCAGGGCCGGGTCTGGCGACCCGGTTTCCTTCGGACCTGCCCTCCGCAGGCTCGCCCTCTCCTTTCTCACCACCCCGTTCCCTCCCCCCGCCTTTTTTGGTCTCTCTTCCACTCCATACAGGTACCGAGAACTTTCTGGGTGAGTTTTAGAATTTTCTCATAGGCATTCTTTTCCTGTGTTTTAATCTTATCCCTTGATTCTTTAGGTTGGTAAACTTGATGAGATTGTAACTTGACTAAAGATAATTTGGAGAAGAGGGAAGTGTGTATTTTGGGCTGCTGTTCGTCTGTGTGCGTGCCTGCGTGTGTATAGGTGTTAAGAACACACCTGCGGTCAAGGGGATTTGGTGTCTGCCTGTGCGGAGGTGAGGAAGGTGAGCCCGTGAGACGGTGGTGAGGCCACACCCGAGGTTGTGAAGGTTGTCCGAGTAATCTTTGGGGAGCGAGTCCCAGATGCCCGTTTCTTAGGACAGTCCTAAGCTGTCTCTGCAGGGCAGCGTGTGGGGGAGGCCGCTTGTATCCTGCGGGTATGTTAGTGTCTGTGTCATTGAGCGCGTGGCTGTCGAGGTGCCGGCCGGGATCATCTGTGGAGCTCCCAGCTCCGCGAGCCCAGCCGTGGGTCGCGCGTCGCCGCAGCCTCCACGCCAGGCCTGGACACTGAATGCTGGGGGGCGGCGGCCAGAAGTGGAGGTGATAGCGGGCGTCTTCTCTTGCCGCCCCCCTGCCCCGACAGAGCCCAGTCTCCAGACTCAGTTCTTTCCCTCTCCTGGAATTCCGGCAGCTTTCTCTTCACATCGGGCGGTTCAGGGGTGGTAACCCCAGCACCTAAAGCCTGGGGGAACCAGAGAGTGGGCCCCGCGTGCCCCAGAATGGGCGTGCCTCGGTGTGGCTGCACACGCTCGCAGGCCTGCGCCGTGCGGCGCGCGCGCGCTCGGGTCGTGGTCCGCATGCGTTCGCTCTTTGCAAACCCCAACTCGGAAGGTCCGAGCGCATGGGGGCGCCTGGGGGCCTGCGCGTCCCCGGCTTTCGGGAGGCGCCAGCTTGCGAGCCTGCGCACCTCGCCCGGGAGGCCAAATCCCTGAAGGCCTTGCAGGCCTTGCGGGTGGGGGAGTTATTAATTACTCCGCACTAGGCCTAAAGCCTCCAACCCCAGCGGCGGTTGGCGTGGATGTCCTGCGGATTTTATTTGCACACAGTGTAAATGATTTGTTTTCTCTAAAAAAGGAGTGGGCATGGCAGATATTTGAGGAGGGGGTGGGAGGAGAAGGAAGGCGAGAGAGCTGAGGAAAAAAGTTTGAAAATGCCTTGAACTATTCACTGTCGAGATGGCTAATCAGTATTGAGGCCGGAGGGCAGGCGGGCCGCCTTTCACCGCCGCTTCCCTTTCATCTCGGGCTCGGCGGAGGCGCTCAATTAAAAGCCTATCAGTTTGTAAGTAAATCAACGCCTATCAGAGTTGTCACATCAAACAAAACGATTATTATTGCAGCCCGCCTCCCCTATTAATCTCCCTCGAAGATAATCCGCCTGACAGGTCAGGCCCGGCGAGCTGGAAAGCCTGGCCCAGAGCGCCCAAACAGTCCCGGACTGGCGCGCGCCCCTGGGGGCCTCCCTACCGCGGTCCCGCCCCGCCTTGTAGTCCCCCGGGAGGGGGGAGAGTAGGAGCTGGCGGAGGCCGCTGGTCCCAGGCCCGCCCCTCCGGACTGGGAGCCGGGCCCAGATTCGCAGGGCTGGTGAGGGACGGTCTCCGGCGGCCCTCACCTCTTCTCCGGCCTGCGGTGGCACCGGGCCTGCCGGAGCCACGGCCCGGCCTGGTCCCAGCGCCTCGCCATGGCCTGTACTCTTTTTCGCTCGCCTGTCCTGACTTTCCACCCCACAACCCCTTCTCTTTTTTGTTTTCTCACCGGCTTCTTTCTAGACTCCCTATTTATTTTTTTCCTCCTCTTCCTTTCCCCCTTTTCCTGTTTGACGGGGAATATTTCCTATTCTCTCTCCCTCTTCTCGGTATACCGTCTATACCACTTCGGCGCAATCACACTTTCTGAAGCAGGGCATTCTCAGGGCCCGGGTTATTTCTCCTCGTCAGGGCTGCCTCAGGAGTGTGTGCAATTCCCAGGAACTCCTGACAAAGTCCTGAATGATCTCTACACAGGCAGGGGCCCTCAGAAGCTCTGCGACTGTTTTAAGGGTTGGGTGGGTTTGGAGGGGCGAGAAGAAAGGACCACAGCAGTGTGATGCTTGGACGGTTGCAAGCGCCCTATTCTGGAATAAGTATTTGGCCTTGGAGTTTCACAGCTGCAGCGGCGCGGATCTTGCTCGTGGTGCTGCCTGAGCTTTGCAAATATGTGGAGGAGACCCTCGGGGCATCTGGGCTTCAACGTTGAGGATGTGAGGGGGTGCCTAACACCTAATAAGTAAATGTAGTCAGATAATCACTTCTGTGCCTTCAAACGGGCGCTCCCCGGGCCGGGTGGGGCCCAGATTCCGCACGGAGGAGAAATCATGGCCTTCTCCGGTGTCCTCCAGCTTTGCGCTTGGAGACATCTCAGAACCAAGCGCATCCCGTCCTTTTCCGCGCTATTGCTCCGGATTAATAGGCCCAAATGGCCACTACCTGAACCCAGTGGAGCTGGGATTGTGGGGTCGTTGAAGTAGCTAAGGGGGAAAGGTCTATGGGCATGACCCCAGGTCCTGTTACCTTAAATGGCAGGTTCAGCACCTGGTTAAGTCTCCCTCTCCGGGCTTGTATCCGGGAGAACCTCAGGGAAGACAGTGTTGGGCGTCTGGGCCGAGCCTCTTCCAGTTGTCACAGCGTGGTCTGGGGTCGAGGTTATCGAATACAGCCTATCTCAGCATGCTCGGTGTCCAGAGCTGCAGGACCCGTGGCTCCCACCCCGGGTTCTCAAAAGCCCCCCTAATTGTGCACACCTTACACAGCTGACCTGGTAGTAATATTTATTTCCATACCCGGAAATATTGTAGCGATGCAGTTCAATTATCTGTGTGACTGCTCTTCTTAAATGTATTTATTTCGCCTCTCCCACGCCGCAGATTATTTAAAGAGGTACACAGAGTGCACCCTTCAATCTAGCAAAACTCACTCTGGTTATAGGAAATATTCACTGTGTGGTTATTTGGACTCAAGGCTATCTCTAGCCCGAATTGCACTCAAGCAGGAGCTGTTTAAAAAAAAAAAAAAACTTGCTTTAGAATTTTTCCAACTTAACTGTATGAGCACACACCAAGAATTTAATAATATTTTATATCCCTCTATAGATCTAAATATTCAAATATTATATTACATCTCCCTGAAACAGGAAGCGATCTTCCGTTCACACTGGACGTGGAACTGTTTGTATAATGTTCATCTCTCTGCACTTACACATGAATCTTGATCTAATAAATTCAACCTTGTCATTTTTAGAATCGACGGGATTTCTCTGCGGTTTGCGCTGCCTGTATCCGAATAAATTGAGCTCGCAGGCATCCGGCAGGAAACGGCTCCCGGTTGGAGTGTACACGGACGCATCGGCCCAGCACGGGACGCGAGGTGGCTCCTGGTGATTGTGTGGCTGTAGGTCTGGCCTCCGAAGGAGGCTGGACTATCAGCGCCCTCAGGCCGGGAGCGGCCCCTTGCTGCCCCGCAGTGCCCGGCAGCCCCCACCTCTGGTGGTGCTTCGGGAACCTGCCCGGCCAAGTCCGCCCGGGGCGAAAACTGAAAGCAAATTCCGCGGCAAATGAAGCCCAAACTTTCTTCGACGCAACTTTGCCACAATGATTCGGTGGCGACTTAGGACGGCGCGCTGGTCTGTGCGCGTGCAAGGTGGGGGTGGTGGGCGAAGAAAGCTTGGGGCGGCCGAGCCTGGCCCTAGATGAAACACTAGGGAAGGCGCCTCCCCTTCCTTATTTCTCGCCAATTCCTCGGCCCCAATCCGTAAAAATAGTTTCCAATGTGTGGCGGACGCCCAGGATGTGTTTGTGGGGATCGCACCAGGGAGAAGGAAGCTTTGTGAAAGTTGCAGAAAGAGCTTTGCCCAGAAGCGTCCGCCCTGCAGGGCTCAAGAAAGCTGAGGACCAGCTCGCCTCTCCGGGGGTGGAATGCCTAGAAATCGGCTTGGGGAGACCCCAGCCCAGTCCTCTCCTCTCACCTCGAACTCGCGCGTAAATAACCTCCCGCAGTCTGCGCTGGAAACTCACAAGCGCGGCGCCGCGGTTGGCTGGCGAGGCCGGGAAGCTGAGCCCGCCCGCAAGGCCGCTTCTTGGCACGCTCAGTCCCAGTACCTAAGAGAAGCTTGCACCGAGGTGAGAGGACGAGTGTGCTTTCAGCTCCTGCTCGGCTGTCTAGACCATCACCGCCGACCTCCCAACTCCCTGGAGCGGGCGCTTCCCCCCTGGGAGCGGCAGTCTTGGGCGGCTAGCTAGGGCGCAAAGTGCGCGCGCGGACCGGCGCGGGGTGGGGGGCGGCTGCGGGTCTCTCCGCGGGGCCTGTCGCCGGGCGGGCCGCGGTGGGTGAGTGATGAGGGCAGAGAAGGGCGCCCATAAATCGCGGGTGTCAGGGCGAAAAACTCTCTTTATTGTCTGCGTGATGGATGGGCCCGGGGACGAGACACCAAATACTTCGTATCGCCTTTAAATGGGAACACATTTTCCGCGGCCATAATTCATGTTTTTTAAATAGAAAGTTTGAAATGTTGCCTATATTTCACCGGCCCTGACATATTTATGAATCGCTCCCTGCATGCAAATATCATTATTTAAAGCGCCGGGGAGAGCTCGGGGGGGGGGGGGGGGGGGGAAGAGGCATGGCCCCCGTGGCTTGGGGGGGGGGAATGGGGGAAATGCGGATGGTGGAGGGGGTGCATCTCCCTAAAGTGCGGACAATGAGGCGCGGGGGAAATCCTTATACGGAAGCCGAGCGCACTGGGGCCTCCACACCCGTCGCTGGACCGAGCACTGCCGCTCCGGGAAGTTTGAGCCGCTTGGGTCCGTGGACAGGCCCCCGCCCCCTGCGGGAAGACCCGGTGGGCCTTTTGCGTCCTTCTCCAAGGCCCTGATCCGAGTCAAAGCCACCTTTCCCAAGGAAAAAAAATTTTTTTTAAATAAAAGAATTTAACAAACGCAAATAATAACAACAATCCAACACGTTTCGTGTTCTTTGCATTTGCATTGATTTTATTGATTTTCATTCTGCCAACCTCAGACTGTGCGCGTCCGGGAGGAGCTACTGTCAGACCCCAGTCACTGCGGGGAGTGGGTGGGGGATAACCCTCCGGAGCCGCAGCCCGGACTCAACCAACTCACCACCTCCCAGGCACAACAGAGCCTGCGCAAGACGCGGGGACACAGATGATCCGGCTCCCAAGCTCTGGGGGCTTCAGTCCCGCCCCCTCTGCTTCCCCAGTGCAATGCAGCGCTCCTAGGGTCCGCGTCCATCCACCCCGAGCCCCACTGTGAATACAATCGCTTTGGAAAAAAGCTGGGCACGTGCCGTCAGCCTCTCCCTTGCCCGTCCAGCCAGGCAGGCACCTACACCTTCGTCCTCAGTAGCCGATTCTTTACCTGTGCGGTTCCCCGCGGCGCCTGCGGCCGCGCTGCTAACAGAGGAATGAAAAGGAGGACGGGGGAGTGAGAGGGACAGAGCACTGCCCGAGACAGCCAGATACGCAGACCCGGGTCCTCCTCTTCCGACCAAGCGTTGGAGCCCTGACCGAACTCCCTCTAGGAGCCGAATTGCGCTGGGGAGAACCGGCCGGGGGACCCGCCAGGAGAACCGGCATCGAGAGGGAGGGGCGGGCCGGGCGGCACTTCCGCTGGGGGCGGGGCCGCGGCCCCGGCTGCGGCTGCGGCTGCGGCTCCGGCCCCGCCCCTCCGCGGCTCTGGCCCGCCCCCAGCTCGGAAGGCTCCTCCCCCGCTGGCCGGGCAGCTGGATCTCAGGCCTGCGCCCTCGCAGCAGGGCGGTGGGGGCTCCTCTTCCCTCCTTGGCGTTTTGTCTTAAATCACAGAAACACAAGCACGTGCGCACTAACAACCTCGGCCCAAACTCGTACGTTAAGACTTAGTCAAACGTTGATTTCCTGGTAGTCCCGAGACCTGCTCGGCCCAGGGACTCTTAGACGTTTTCTGGAATACGATCTGTCGTCCCCTTCAGACAGTAGGGAATGCATATCCGTAATCACGCGGTCCCACCTCTTTCAGGAAGAACAAGAACAGAAGTTAACACTTTTTGAGTGTTGCTTTATGCCATATACTACCTAAGAACTGTGTATGAATTAGGTCCTCACAGCAAGTCTCTGAAGTAAGTACCCTGAATACCCTGTTTTATAAAGAGACTGAGGTACGTAGAGAAAAGAGATAGGTCTTGTCTCACTCCCATTTCACCCATATCCTTATCCCTTCTTTTCTTTAGATCCTCAGCGTCTCCAGTCCATCAGTCTGGGGGAATCTTGCTGGGCTTTTACTAATCTATGGGGGGAGCTTCCATGGGGGGAAATCCCATTTAGATTTTAAGATCCTTGCTCCCCTCTGCACCTTTCCTTACCCTGGCGGCTGCAGGGAGAGATTTCAATTACTGAACAGTTGAGGCCTTGCTGAACTGAACAGAGGTGGCAAAAAGTATAAATATGATGAGTTCTACTCAGCACCGCCCCCCCCCTCGCCCCTCCCAGCCTGATGGGGAAACCCGACCAGTGAGCATCCAACCTCCCCCAGCGCCTCCTCCCACCACCGTTTCCCTGTAGTCCCTGCCAAAACCAGAAGAGCTTAAAACAACAACACTCCATGTTTCTCTTCTGCTCAAAAGCCTGGGTTCTCCTTGTTCTTACGATCAAGTTAAGCCCATGGCTGGTAGGTCTCTGAGGCTTGATGTGCCTTTCTTTTCCTTTCTGCCTTTGTGTGTGTCCTACTTCCCTTCAACCTGAGCTCCTGGAATCAGTGGCTACTTTCTGGTCACTCAAATGAACCCTGTTACACCCTCCCGCAAAACTTTGTTAATGCCTTTCCCTCTATCTGGAATGGCCTCTGTTCTTCTCTTCATCTGGCTTACTGCCTTTTTTTTTTTTTTTTTTTTTTTTTTTTTTTTTTTTTCTTTTTTTTTTCTCTTCCTTTTTTAAATATCTCAGTTTACACACCACTTCCCTGCACCTCCTACCTGGTACTGAGTTAGGGCTCCTGTAACCCTCTCTCAGAACACTTACCACACACTAAGGATTTCCTGTTGAGAGGCTGTCTCCTTCACTGGATGGTAACTCCAAGGGGGCACAGAGAGGCTATTTCTTCAAGGAACAAATGAAGAAAAGAACATTTGTACATAACATTAAGTATGTAACATAAGTATTCTCTATGGTCTCATATCCTAAGATGTTTTCAGTTTAATAACGGGGATATAAAAAAATCTCATGAAAATGTTATTTTGAACCCATATTCTGTAAATATCAAATAAGTGAATGCTCAAGGAGGTTGGAGAAGAGAAATATCTATAGTTTTTTAGCCATTTATTCAGATTTTCAAAGTGCAAGATGTGTTAGTTGACACAGGTGAATGGAAAACACTGCCCCTCCCCACCGCCCCGTGACCGCCTCTCCCACTATTCAGGCATGTATGTCTCAAGGCTGCAGGTAGGGCTCCCTCTTATCTTTCTCACTTCACATATTATAGCTATCATAGTTCAGTACCTTATTAGCTCTTGACTGAGCTGCTGCTACAAGAACCTTCTAATTGTTCATTCTCAGCCTCTCTTGCCTCTAATACATTATACATACTCTTGCTAGGTTAATTTTCTTGATCACATCATTCCCTTGCCTCCATCTTCATGAAATCTTCAGAGGCTCTGCATTGTCCACATGAAACACTTGGCTCTTCATAATCTGGTTCTAAACTCCTTCTAAAAAATTTTAAGATGCATTACAAAATTATGAAAGAAACACGTTCCCTTCAACCGGCAAAGCACTCAAAGATATATAAAGACAAACTTTATGATCTCACCCATCTCCTCCCTATTTCCCACCTAGGCTCCTGAGATATCCAGGATATACAGCCAGGATATAACTTCTATCCCTTTCTCCACACTCAGCATGCTCGTATAAACTGTACTCACATATATGGGACTATTATGTTTTTGCTTGTTTATACAAACAGTGTATAAATAGAGCTGCCTGTTCCTCATTCTTTTTTTTTTTTTTTAAGATTTTCTTTATTTATTTGACAGAGTGAGAGAAAGCGCAAGTAGGCAAAGCAACAGAGAGGGAGAAGCAGGCTCCTCACTGAGCAGGGAGCCCAATGTGGTACTTAATCCCAGGACCCCGGGATCATAACCACAGCCAAAGGCAGTCACTTAACCAACTGAGCCACCCAGGTGCCCCTCATTCTTTCTTGATAACAAATGGGTCTATAGATATAGAGGTAACATTTATTTTTAGCTGCATAGTATTCCTTAGAATGAAGGTACCCACGTATTCAACCATTCTTCTGTTGGTGGTCATAAAGGTTGTTATCAGGGTGGGGTTTTTTTGGTTTGTTTTGTTTTGTTTTTGTTTTTGTTTTTTTTAACTAACAATTTCGTGAGTCTATATCCTTGCGGTCAGTGATTTTGTTTCTGTAGAATAGATTACAAAAGTGCAGCTGGCTATACCCCAGCCAAATCTAATTTCTTTGTTCTTACCACATGCCTTGTTTTGTCCCATTTCTTGTGTCACCTCTCCCTGGAAGTCCCTTGTCCCCCATGCTTGTGTATCCAACTTCCAATACTGCAATGCCCAAGTCTGATACCAGAATTTAGATATCTACCTTCCTCCTTTCTCATAATCTTACCAGTGTGGCAATGTGCCGGGCCCAGTGTCTACTCCAATCATTACGATCCTATTTTCATTTTTCCTAATCCTTGTAACTAGGGAGAATCAAGTGACCCAGTTTTGCAAATGAGGCACAAGTAGAAGTATGGAGGTGGCAAAGCTGGAGGGGAAGCGCTGGGAAACAGTCTTGTTTTCCTGATCAGAGGAGATGATGCAGATGTTTTGACACTTCCCCTTCTCCTCTTTCTCTTTTATTCCTTCTACGAACTTGGATATGATATCTACAGCTGTAGCAGCCACCTTGTGATCATGAGGAAAAGTCCAGGAGAACAGCAGAGAGACACTTAATCATGACATCGTTGGGACACTGGGCCATCTCCAGTAATCACCCACCTCCAAAATTTTTGTTATAGTAGAAAAATTAAATTCCTACTTGTTCAAGTCATTGACATTGGGGATTTTTATATTTGTAATCAAACATATCTTTTACCTGTCCCCTTTGGCAAATCTTATTTCCATTGGTGTTACAATTTTGGGGATACTACCACAGGGGTCCAGAAAAGATAGAGAAGCTATTAGAGACTCACCTTCAAACATTTTTGAAGGATAATATTTAGAATAGCCAAGTAGCCAAGA